CACTCCTACAGAGCACGACCAAGCATTCGTGGGCTGTCAAGACGGCGACTCAGCTGGAGAAGCCGCGTTACGTCATCTTTGCTTTGCAGACTGGTCGAAAGAATTCTCTCACTGGTAATGTTGTCATATTCGACCATTATATGTAAGCTGACTAACGTGAAACTCTATCTCAACTCGGAATTTTATCCGTACGACGATATGAATTTGGATTTCGATAAACATAGATACGCCGTTCTGTACGATATGTATGCACGTTTCCGCAAATCATATTACGGATGTGACAACGACAATGTTCGATCCCATACAATTTCTTACTCATTGTCCGTGTGTGGTCATTGATTGTTCGTGACAAAACAAATCCATCAAGAGCGCCACTGTCGATGTGAGAATTGAATTCGACTGCAAGGAGAATATACCGGTGGATACCACAGCTTACTGCCTCATTCTGCACGATCGCATTGTGGAGTACAGTCCCCTGACCAACATTGTGCGCAAAATCACATAAAAATGAAGGTGCCTATATTTGTGGACCTGCAAGGATTCACAGTTGGAATGAGATTTCATGTAAAAGAGATAGCAATACTTGGAAATGGAACTGTTCTCTCCCATTATGTCTTTGCGAGTCCTATGCCGTGGCATCTTCTCACGAGAGCTGACAAATCGAAAGCAGCATGGTTGACGGCTAATCATCATGGTCTGGCATTGGAAGGATGGAATCGTTCCATACAACAAAGCGAAACGTTTGATCACGGACGCTGTGATCAGCGAAACCAGCAAAGAATCCAAACTTGTCTACGTCAAGAGGTACGAGAAGCAAGAGTGGTTGACGAATCTCCTCGATGATGATGTGAGGGAAAAGGTGATCATTGAGACTCTGGATGCGGATTACGAGGATATGGACAAGCTGGATGCAACCAACATTTTACGATGTAATCATACAAAACACTGTGCGTTACAAAATGTATTGAAAATATTTAATTTGTGGTGGTGTCAGCGCCAGAAAGAATTGTTTAACTTTTGATATGTATAATAAATTTTTATTATAATGCTACATTTAATACATAATAATATGTTGTTTAATTTATTATATCATCCTCTTCGCTGTCGGCGATGTCAATGAGTTTCATATTATCCTCTTCGCTGTCGGCGATGTCAATGAGTTCCATATTATCCTCTTCGCTGTCGGCAATGTCAATGAATTCTATATTATCCTCCTCTTCATTCTTTTCATCGAAGTCGGCGATGTCGTCATCCTCCTCCTTCTCCTCCTCCTCCTCCTCCTCAGAGTCAGCGATATTGATAACTTCTATATGTTTTGAAATCAAATTTAAAAATTAATTTTAACGCTTTTCTGCACAGAAAAAATCAAAAATTTGATGCCAAATTGTAAAAAAAATGTTGTCTGCTCTCTCTTACCATTGGTCGACTGTACTTCTATCTCATCCTCATCGCCGTCGGATGATTCAGGATCATATGCTTCATGATCATCTAAAATCATATTTAAAGATTAATTTAAAGTTTATGTTCTATACAGAAACATAAAATTTGCATGTAAACTTACGTAAAATTTCTCTCAACCACTCCACGTATATTTGGTCTTCCTCGAACATTGCTAAAATTGAGTCAATTCTTATTTAAAAATATAAATAATCAAGGTTATCATTATTATTATTATTATCATACAATCTATTAAAAACTTACGTGAAGGGTTTGATAGCCAAACCATCTCCTTGGGTTGACGTCTACAGTATTCTACTGTGTAGAACATTGTCGCAATTCAAACTTGAACTATTTGCCGGTGACTCCTGAGAGACTTTTATATGGTCCATCGCTATCTCTTTGTAACAAATATGTCTCGTTAGGAGAGGGTGGCAAATGTGCAAAATCAGCACAGCCTAACGTAATAGTAACATCATATGTTACACATGCAGTCAACCGCATCCTCACATTGATGTATCAGCACAAAAATATTGCATTGTGATGCTTAAGATTGCACTGAGAATTTCTCAATTTATTGTTCAATCAGTCAATTAATGTGCGGACATGTAGATCAGATCCGACTCACTATACGGACACCGTTGACATCGCCGCATTTCATCGGTATAAACTATAGATTCATCGTCCTAACTGATTTCATCTACTTTTGGCCACTGTAAACTGTGCATATGATCATCTAAAATCACATTTAAAAATGTGCGGACATGTAGATCAGATCCGACTCACTATACGGACACCGTTGACATCGCCGCATTTTATCGGTGTAAACTATAGATTCATCGTCCCAACTGATTTCATCTACTTTTGGCCACTGTAAACTGTCTCAATAGCACATACAAATTTCGCGTTTATCGTGTCGCTCCATCATCAAAATTAGCATATCAGCATTCCACAAATCATCATATAAATGTATGTCATGAAACAACACTATATGTGTAAACTTGCCACTATCTGCCGGAATTTTTATATAGAAATTTTGAAGGTTAAAGTTCTTTAGCACTCTGATGTCTGGATGCATTATAAGCTCATTCAATTTAGTGTTTATTTCACATGCATTCTCAGTCGTGATCCTACGTGCGTCTTTCACTATCTGATTGGCGTACTCCTGCACTAAGTCATGGGGCCAACTTTTTGGAGAGTAGAACTTGATAACTTTAACATTTTCCTTCACACCGCGTTTGTTTATTCCCCGCAAACCGAGTTCTCTGTCACGCAAAAACTGCACCATGGATATCTTTCTTGATTTGTCTTCCATTTTAGCCGTTCAAATTGTTGCTTGTCCCGTTGCGTGTTACGTGTCCCGTATCTGTTGCTGCTTGGGTCTCGACTAAACTATGCGCCGATGTAATACACATTATTTTATATGTTTCAAAATGTGCAAAATATGCATACTTCTATGATCTTCATGATAGTATCTTGTTTCACATTTTTTCTGCGCATCTTACTGTCAACCACAAATCGATGCGACAGCACTTAAATGCTACATTGTGACGCATAAGAGAGAGAGAGATCTTACATGAATATTTTACTTATGTGCTACATTGTGACGCATAAGAGAAAGATCTTACATGAATACTTTTGGACTGCACTTTTGATATAAATATTGGAATACACCGTTTCGGTAATCGTTTTTATGATTTTTGGTAACCGTCATCGTTTTATTACCGTTTCTTTTCCATTTTCTACCGTTTTTTACCGTTTTTTTTACCGTTCTTTACCGTTTCATTGCCGTTCTTTACCGTTTCATTCCCATTTTTACATAACATATTATCCATGATGTATAACACGCAAAATCTTGTCGCGGGGGCACAGTGTACGTGCTCATTAGTAATAAGAATATCATGTGTCACATTCTTTTTCTTGCGCATCTAATTATCGAATGCATACATCGCTTGCAAAATCTTGTCGCGGAGACACAGTGTACGTGCTCATTAGTAATAAGAATATCATGTGTCGCATTCTTATTCTTGCGCATCTAATGGTCGAATGCAAACGTTTGCAGAATATTAGAGTTTGCAGCTGTGACTAAACAAAAATCACGCTGTGAAATGCGCAGGGCGGCGCGGAAACCGCCGCAAAATCCGCCGCAAAATCCGCCGCGGAAACCGCCGCAAAACCGCCGCAAAACCGCCGCGAAAACCGCCGCAGATCGGTAAAATGATCTATCGAAAGCAGATAGAAAAAATTATATAATATCGGTAATTACCGATCATCGATATTATGTAAATGTGACAGTAAAAATTATGTAAAAATATATATATATATATTTTTACATAATTTTTACTGTCACATTTACATAATATCGATGATCGGTAATTACCGATCATCGATATTATGTAAATGTGACAGTAAAAATTATGTAAAAATATATATATATATATTTTTACATAATTTTTACTGTCACATTTACATAATATCGATGATCGGTAATTACCGATCATCGATATTATGTAAATGTGACAGTAAAAATTATGTAAAAATATATATATATATATGTTGATAAAAAATGTTGATAAAAATTAAATGTTGGTATATAATACCGGTAATAAATTACCGATCGTCGGTATTGTGTAATTATATGTTGGTAAAAATTATATATTGGTAAAAAATTATGTAATTAAATGTTATATAATATCGCTAAAAATTACCGACCGTCAGTAACATCGGTATGCCCCCAATTACCGACCGATGATAACCCCCTTGCGCGGTGACGTCATACCCTTTTGACGTCATACCCCCCGTGACGTCAAACCCCGCTCGTGACATCATGCCCCCCCCGTGACGTTATACCCCCCGCCCGCGGTACCCCCCGCCCCTCACCCCCCCTCGGAGGACCATGGGTTAGAACTGGTCTACTATACCTACTGGGTGCGAACTCAGGAGTCCGTCCTCACGAGGTCCCTAGTCAAACTAGTGAGGCTGCCGATCGGGGATGCCGTTGACACACCGCTCCCCCCCGCCCCCGCACTTACTTAATTTCCGTCCCTCAGACGGAGACGGGCGGTATATTCCGTACGGAAGCTGTGGTCCGCACGGATAGCGGGCGGCGGGCGGCCGTGCGCCAGACGCGTTCCGCTCGCGGGCGACTGCCGCTCGCCGCGGCTTCACGCCGTCGCCGCTACGCGACAGCGCGTCGAGTCGGGGCCATCGCTTGCAGTTAAATTTCGGTGCGGCGCCTATATAAGACGCCGCGGGCGACGGCTCTAAGCCTTTTGACTGCGTTAGCGCATCTGGTCACTGCCTCGCAGAGGTATTCTTTTGTACTCTATTTAGCTTCATATCGCCTTCTTGAGTGCGTAAGCACGTTGGGCACTTGCCTCGTCAGAGATATACGTCTGCACATCTGCATTGATCATCGCTGTCTTCAGAGTGTCATAGACACGTTGGCATTCTGGTTTAGGTCTTCGCAGCCCTTTAGAGTGCGCTTGCACGTTGGGCTCTCGCCTCTAGAGTGTCCGAGGACACGTTGGCATTTGCGTTACGAAGTATATGGTAACTCCACGGATCTCCACCTTCTCAATACGATCGAGGATTGAGAGAAGGCCTCGCGCGACCCTTGACGCCTCCATCGTGGTGGACGTCTCTCTTCGCGACATCTCCAGTATCGCAAACAGCGTGTATCAGGTCGACAGCACGCTGTACTGTCGGGCTTACGACTCCGAGCGAGTCGTCGTAGATTCCTCTTGAACCTCTGCTGCCAAGGGCGCAGCATATACACGCAAGCCAAGCTCGCCTTCACTTAGTCGCTGCCTGGGCCGCAGCACTTACGCGAACCACATTCGGTTCTTCACCGACACTGAAGCTATACCCGTCGCATACGCAACTCCACGCGCGAGTTCCACTCGCGCCTAAGTCCCCGCGAGACTTAGTCTACGTCGCCCGCGCGACGTTACGATTCTCATTGCTCTTGATCCTTCGACAAGGGGGCCTTCTCCTAGCGCGGAGGCTCTGGGAAGCGGTGCATCTCCGCAGGGCCGCCGCTTTGATTGATCTAGCTCGCTTTATTCGAGTCGGCGACCCACCACACACGGAGACGACGACTCTCGTCTCCGGAGAACCTCGCGAATCGCTTGCACCCCACGTCATCTCACGGGGCCGCTGGATAGCGGACTGCCAGAGACGAAGCCCGCGGTCTCCACGCGGCGAGCGGACACCTATCCGCATTTCGCAAAACGAACCGGCCGCTCTCTACCCTCGGGCCGTTCGAAACATAGTTCATGTCTAAAGTGTACGACCACAGGTGAATATTACCATAAGGAACATATAATTAGTTTCCCACGCATAGATATGCCAAGAAGAACCGATGCAACTTTCCGGAATAGAACCGACCTGGACCACCATAAAATGGATTCACCTTTAGAAAAACTTTCAATTGATATGATGAAAAGTATTGCGGTATCCAATTCATTACATCTATTAGATCTAGGTATAATAAAACGTTTATTAACTGGATTCGTATACGGAACGTTGGGTTTGAAAACTAAGTGGTCTGCAAACGTAACCAAATTAGTGTCTAATTTCCTCGTTCAATGTAGAATGCCAAGAGAAATTCATCGAGCCGTTAGAGGACTTGGTTGCTTAAAATTTTGGAAAGGAACTGAATATCGAACATTTAGTTTGTACCTAACACCCGTTATATTGAAAGAGTACTTATCTGAAGTAATATACCACCATTATGTGTTGTTCTTTTGTGGTATAGTAATTTGTTATTACAAGTCATATTTAAAGTATAGCAGATAAGTTATTAAATGTTTTTATAGAACATTACATAAAAATTTACGGCATTGATTCAATTAGCAGTAACGTACATAATCTTTGCCACTTAGTTGAAGAAGTAAAGGATTTCGGCGATTTATCCACCTTAAATTCTTATCCATTTGAAAATTATTTACAGAAAATTAAAAAAATACTCCGAACGGGAAACAAACTATTGCCGCAAGCAGCTAGACGAATTTTTGAGATTAGTAATTTAAAACAAATTAAAAATCGTAGTAATAAAAGATATCCTATTCTAAAGAATAAAAATTCTGGAGACAATTGTGGTCGAAGTAAATATAAACATTTTTTTTACAAAGTTGAATTAATGGACGGAGTAACACTTTCAAGTGAAGACAGAAACCAATGGTTTTTAACAAAACAGAATGAAATTATTGGCATGAAGAATGACTATGTAACGAGCCGTTCGCAAAACAAATAGAACAAGAACCGGATTAATGATAATCAAACGACTCGTCACGAAACCGAACGCGACAAACCGATGTAAACATCACCGACCGACCGCAAAGATCACAA